AAGGAATTATGATCACCAGTGACCTAAGGTGACATAATAGTACTACTGTGGCTTACCCAGTGTTATCAACTTTGAGACTTCATTTCTGTAAGTCAACAGTGACTACTGTCTATGTTCCCCTCTGGGAGTTTCAGGGCTTGTTTCCACCTGCGTAAGTTAGGGATGCCCCATGTTTCCCACCTCTCAGTGCAAAATCCCACCCCTCTTCTATGCCATTTACCAGGATACTCCAGGCTGCATCTCTGCTCACTTGAAATCAGCTGCAAAGCCCTCTGTGGACAACAGTGATTACTCTGAAATGCTGCACGTGGAATTGAAGAAGCAAGGTGCCTGAGCCAGGGAACAGGAACTGAGTGCAAGTATTGATAGAGACAACTAGCTCCAAAATAATTCCATCCACAACAGACAGCATCAAGCACGGTAATGAAAAGCCAGCAAGGGTCCAGTTAGGCATAACACCACCTGGAAGGGCCAGGTTCTCTTATCAAGCTGTGTTTAGCACACACAGGGGACATTTTGCTCCTGAGCCTCTCCAAAGTGATGCCTGCAACATATCTGCATCTCTCTGACAACTAATTCCTAGGTTTGCTGGTGTCGTGGTTTAGCCCCAGCCGGCAGCTAAGCACCACACAGCTGCTCGCTCACTCCCCCTCCCACAGTGGGGTGGAGGAGAGAATTAGGAAAAAAACCTCGTGGGTTGAGATAAACACGGTTTAATAGGACAGAAAGAAAGAAGGAAACAACAATGATAATACCAACAAAGGAATATACAAGAACAAGTGATGCCCAATACAGCAATTGCTCACCACCCAGTGATCGACAGCCCGTCCCCGAGCAGTGATTTCCGCCCCCGGCCAACTCCAGTTTATGTACTGGGCATGACGTCGTATGGTAGGGAATATCTCTTTGGCCAGTCTGGGTCAGCTGTCCCGGCTGTGTCCCCTCCCAGCTCCCCGTGCACCCCAGCTTCCTTGCTAGTAGGCCAGCATGAGAAGCTGAACTGTCCCTGACTGCTCAGCAACAACCCAAAACATCAGCACATTTTCTGTTTCTCATCCCAAATCCAAAACACAGTCTTACAGTGGATTCTGTGAAGAAAACCAGCTCTATCCTGGTTGAAACCAGGACAGCTGGCTAAGGGAGAACAGAGGGAAAGGTACACTTGTAGGTTGCAAGAGTTGTGAATGATTTTTTATGATAGTACCAAATATAACCATGGCTGGAATTGACTCAGAGGTTAAGAGCATGATTCATAGATCTAAAAGAATGAGCTTGAGACAGCATGGGAGTTGTAGCTATATCTCAAGTATGAGATCAGTATGAGCTGTTTCAAACTATTTTGCAGCTAAAATAAATTTCTAGCAGGCACTTAGATTCATATTTAAGATTACAAATCACACAATGAAGACTTGAAGAATTCAGGCATGTGGAAAAACATATTCATGATGAACAAAGCAATCTAAGCTTTGCCCTCCCATATGTCATATAGCTGTGCACGCAACAGCCACACTCCTACAACGTGGTAATTTTAGACTTCATTGTGGCATTAGTTGGGGACTGAAAAGAGTGAAGTACTACTGAGCGTCAGCTTCAAGAGTTTTTGGACTATCCCTTAAAGTACACTCCAATTCTTTGTGGGCTCTGCATGCGTACCAGAAGACCCCAGCTGCTCTCCAGACAGTAAAATAAATAGGTAAGCACAGGAAGGGAAGAAAGAGAAAATGCAACACTGCATACTGCAATAAAAGGTGCCTTGAAGGATGCTAACAGTGATGAATGAGGCACAAAATGAGAGAAAGGCATCTCCTGTCACTATCAGGCATGTGCTAACTGTACTACCTGGCTGCAGAGACAAGCTTGAGGCTTAGACACAGTTCTGTGATACTTTGACACCCCACTATGAGCACTGGTCCCAGAAAACAAGGCTAAAGGGCTCTAAAAAAGAAAGAAAATAATATGACAAACAATCTGAAATAAATAAGCTAATAATTTTTTTTCCCCTCAAAAAAGGAGATGAAAGAGACTCCACTTGAAAAATGAAATAGGAGAAAATACACTGCAGGAAGGTTAGCAATGTAATACATAGCTGAACTGTGCCTTAAATTTGCTTTAATAAAATTTGGGGTGAGAAGTCACAACTGAAATCAGAAATATATATTGCTAAGAACTGCACAAACACACTGAAGGCAAATGTTCCAGCATCAAATATTTTACTGTCTGTACAGATAGGACAATTGGGATGTGTTCACACCTTAGACATAGACTAGCAGTCCATCTATGAGCTCAGGCACAGGGTAGTGTGGTTGCAATTAAATGGTTTGACAGCTCACAAGTTCACAGATGTTTATAGGGGTTTTATGAGATATTCTGCTTGGTGTCTACTAACCTGGGACACCTGCAGCCTCCTCCATCATGCAGTGTTTATATGGCCTGGGTGAACAAAATGTAGAACCATTTCCAGGTCACTGATGAAGATGTGAAACAGAAATGCAACTAACCTGCCTGGAGAAATGCAGGGACTACAAGTCAGAGCTGGGATTTCAAGGTCCCCTGAGCCCCAGTGCCAGGACCAAAACACTTGACTGGCTTTCCTTTGCTTCTCATTACTGGGTGAAAAGAGTCAATGTGGTGTGCATCAAAATAGCGCTGCTGAAGGAACACCGATTTCCAACAAGGTTTGTTGTATTCAAGGTGCCAAAAGAAGGGTAAGTATTTATGGCACGGATCTGTTACCTAGAACATTTACTTTTGAATCCATTAATTAAAACTGCACACCCTACAGTTTGGTTTCTAAAAATTATTTCCCCTCAGCTATCAGGAATC